ATTAGGGCTAGTTTTAGGGAAAAAAATGTCTGGGGTTAATTCTCCCATAGTCATTCTTCCACACAGCTTCCACAATTGGAGAGAGCAGATGAGCTTACAGATAAGGAAGTAAGAGCATAAAAGAGAGGAAAGGAAGAAGAACAAAAGAGGCAAAGAATTGTGATTGTGGCCTCTGATGGAGGACTGGCTGAAGCCTGAGCCTATGGCAGCAAAGGCAAGGGTAAGGTGGAAAGCCTCAGCAACAGTCCCAAGGAGCTCAAGTCTCACATGTTGCACTTGAATCATCACTTTACAAAGATCTCGGTATGCCAGCTTTAGTCAGAAAAGTGGCATACAATTTTTCACCTGATATACAGTCTTTTCTCACTCTTTGTGCAGAAGTAGAGAGAGTAAGTCATCAGCCTTCATTGCTTGCAGGTGAGGCACACTTAACCACAGTCCAAGTTTTATTTCAGCCTTATCAGGAGTCAGTTCAAACTCAACAGAGCAAGGAACACAGAAAGTAGTCCCTTTTGGGGAACAGGTGTAACAGGGCACACGCTGTCTGAGGTCCCCAGTCTTTGAGGAATATTATCATCCAGACATCTAGATCCTAATGGAAACATCTTAAATTCTATGATGCTATATTTTCTTTTCAACATATGACAATAAAAACAATTTTTTTCTGTTATGAGACAGGTTCTTTCTGGGTAGTTCAGGTTTTGACATGGTATCAGATATATCATAGGCTAGTCTGCAACTTGACATCTCCCTACTTCCTTTCCCTGAGATATAGCACTACAGATCTGTACCACCAAGCTCAGGGCTAATGAAGGAAATCTTATCTGTAGGCTGAGGGGAAAGCTGGGTGGGCAAAGTGCTCATTGTGCAAGCCTGAAGACCTGAACTTGTGTTCCCAGAACTCACACAAAAGCAGAGTGTGGCAGTGCCCATCTCCAATCCTGGTGCTAGGTGGAGACAGGGAGATTCTGGAACCTTACTAGTCAGCTAGTCTAGCCAATTGGTGAGAACCAGGATCAGTGAGAGACAAGGTTTCAAAAAATAAGGACAGAGAGGGGTTCTGTAGGAGTGGGAGAGGATAAGAGAGTGCAGTGAGAGGGTAAGTATGAAATACATTATACACATGTATGAAATTGTCAAATAATAATTTTAATATATATTAAAATATATATATAGAGAGGAAGACATCGAATGACAACCTCTGATGCATGGGGCTCTTTATCCATATACTCATACAAACACCATGCTCACACAGGCGTATCTTCTCCACACACAAATCTTGTCTAAGGGTCGCATTTGGTTTGTGGGTCAAGTGTCTATGATTTCTGGCTTATAACCATCTTCACTTAGATAAGTCA